TTTTGACTTTGTTTCTGATGACATTTGCCGACTCTCGACTTTTTACTCTCGATCGACTCTCGACTTTTACTCTCGATCGACTCTCGACTTTTTACTCTCGACTCTCGACTTTTTTACTCTCGACTCTCGACTTTTTACTCTCGACTCTCGACTTTTACTCTCGACTCTCGACTTTTACTCTCGACTCTCGACTTTTACTCTCGACTCTCGACTTTTACTCTCGACTCTCGACCTTTACTCTCGACTCTCGACCCTCGACTTTTAGATACACTCGCCGCGCGCTCGCTCAGCCACTGATCTATATAAAAAAAACTGTAGTGTTGCTGTTTTTTAGTACGTTATTTGCGCCTGGGTACGAGGCTGCGTCATCCCGGCTAAAAGGAGCTCCTTATTGGCCAAGTATTACGTAATACAAGCGCGTGCGAGTAAAACCCGATACTTTAAAAATTCAAAATAAATATTTTTAGTCGGTGTATACATACGAAACTTTCTACACGAAAGCGCTTGAATACAAAGAGTATTTTACACATATCCTTTCAGGAAATGACACCAAAGTTTAGAATATATTCAACTTTTTCTCATTTTCTCCTTTGAATGTTTGGCGAAGCAGTGAGTATAAAATATATGATTGTTTCGGTTTGTGTAATGTTTTGACGGCACTTGACCCCCCGTTCGAAAGGTTATATTGTGAGGATTTCAATGGTGGCATTTATTTAAAAGGGGCGTAAATACTCGCCGAGATATTTATATTAGAAAAATTGAATTCGAAATGTAATACGAGACAGGTTGTCGAGAAAGAGTTAAAGATGCTGTAAAGTCCGTTCTGCGCATGTATTCTGCGCATCAACACATTCCATCAGTGGGGGAGCAAACACCGCGGAAAAACGTCTGCGCATGCGTCAACCTTTCCTGTAATAGTATTGCGAACTTGATGAGAAGCTGTTCCGAATGTTTCCGAAAGCTCAAAATGGCGGTAAAAAGGAGTGACTTCATTGTGCGTCTTTAGTCTTTACAGCCAGATTTCGAGCGCAAAAATAAACATGTCATTCTAAAAACTAGGAATAAATACAGCCAGAAGGTTCAAGAAATTGTATTGTACAAGAACATGAACTAAAGGTGATTGTTGACAAATTTATCGTGTGAAACATTTTGTTTATCAACTAAGCAACGACAATTTCCGAATTTTCGTTTGAGATACATTTCTTTAAAAAAAACTGTGTCGCCAAAGATAAAAAATTTGCGTGTTCACAATAATTAAACTTTAGGATTTATTCTACAATTTGAGTGGGTTAAGAAGCTTAACTTTTCGAGAGTTTTCTTAACTTTTTAGTTTGAATTTTTGTTTTGAATAATTTTGCAAAAATTTTCGAAGTCGTGTCCGTTAAAATCAACAATTTTTTACATGAATTATATTTCATTCCATACTTTAAATGCCAGGACGCTTTCAATTAATGTCTAGTCTACTCATTTGCTATATTTTCTCGTTTGTTTTACTAATTTTTGACCAATTAATAAGCATGTTTTTGTTTTAGAAATTGATATTCAAATTCCCCGCCATATTTTCATAATTAATTGGTGCATGCGCAGACGTTTTTCCGCGGTGTTGGGGGAGCAACCTTTGGAATGTTGTTAATATTTCGCCCCTTCCGAACTTTCTTGAATTGAATCTCTAGTCTGTATTCATTTACAAGCATAGCGAACCAGAAGAGTGTTAAAAATTTAGTATAATATATATCTAATCATATTTTACAACTGTAGCACTGAGTTCAAAATGTAAACAAAACGTTTGTTTACATTACGGACTTTACATCACCTTTAAGCAGTTTACAGTGATTTTGTAGCAATACAACGGATTTAATCAATTTTAAAGGCAAAAAATAAATAGCACAATTAACCAAGATGTGGGTTAGCTAAAAAACCACAGGCTGTTATACTGTTTAAAATTAAATATTTGTTATGAGTTTACAACATATACCTTTTCGTTCGTATATAAACTATAAATTAACTATTCACAGCGTTTGCAGACATTCCAACCACTGGAGGTAAAATTTAGGGTGACTGTTCAGTTAATTGAAATCTAGTTCTTCTGGGAAAAAAATAATAAAAATAAAGTCTTCTGAAATGACGTTTTGACCATGCACTGTGGTTTGACTTTATTCCAAATTTTCATTTCCTGCTGACTCATACAGCTGACGAAATGTCAGTTGTAGAAGTAAAAGCTAAAAGCTGGTGAGGGGTAAAGTAAAAAATAATTCTATAAAGAGGGCTTTCTTTTTGTTACCGAGAAAACGTTGCATGTTTCATGGCAAAAGTACTTCAACCCTTTCCAAACACGCAGCATTTCAACAAAAGATGCTTATATGTTAAACAAAGGGTGGTTTAAAGTTGTTTCTTTATTGTTACAGCACATATTGGTTGTGATCACGGCATGAAACTCCAGATTGGAGCTTCGTTCATTATATGGACTCTGTGTCTTATTTGGCCTGGCAAAGGTAATTCAAAAGTTATGCCATAGACAATAATACTTGAATTTCTAACACGATTTCTCTAACAGCCATGCACGCGCGCGTATACAGACTATAAAATGACTATATAATATAAGACTGGATGAATTTAATTTGTGTTATTAGTTTTAAGTTATCATTTTCAACATTATTATATTACAACAACCTTATTCCAAAGGACAGGTAGGGAATAGACACCCAGCCCTGAGGACGAGGCTGATATTCCACCAAGGTTAGATAGCCAAACGCATGCTTTGAGAGAAATTAGTGATTAAATGACCCCGCAAACCGAGGGAGGTGCGTAGGAGGGAGAAAAAATTCGCCACGAAAAAGTTGGATCAGTTCCTACTTTTTACCGTTCGCGCGAACAAATTCGCCTGGCGGAAAATGCATGCATGCGCTTAGTGTCAAATAATATGTCTTTGTTTGAAATAACTTATTCATGCATTTATATTATTGTTACAAGAGCCTCTTGTGATAGAAGTGTACAAATATGCATGCACTACATTGCAATCTATCAGTCTCTTCTGTACGCACGGAGGCGTTTGTAACTTGTTCATTGTTGTATTGATTCTTGCAGCCGGAATACACTGCCCCTTTGGCAAACGCAAGATAACAACTGAACACACGCGTGTTAAGAGAGTAATTGGTGGATCGCAAGCCATCCCTAATTCCTGGCCATGGATAGTGAACTTCATAGATCACAAAAATCTCCAACAGTGTGCTGGTTCTATCATCGATCGTGAATGGATTTTAACAGCAGCACATTGTTTCTTGTTCAATTCAAAACCTGCTCCACTTTTCAACAACTACACCATTCATCTTGCTGATCATAATTTGAGCTTCACAGATCCTCAAGAATATGAAATTGAGGCATCGAAAGTTTATATTCATCCAAAGTATGTTATAGGTGATTCGGTATCTCCCGGCGATTATGATGTAGCTTTGATGAAACTCTCGCAACCGCTTAACTACACTGATTATGTTCAACCTATCTGTGTGGGAATAAGGGAAGATACTTTCAGTGAAAATGATACTTGTGTTTTGATTGGTTGGGGTAACAATAAAAATGTATCAACGTATCATCGTTCACCATTTTTAAAAGAAGTCGAGCTTGATTTGGTCAGTCTTGAGGAATGCAACAGTAATACTTCATATAAAGGCGAAGTATCAGACAGATTTCTCTGTGCTGGTCGTAAAGAAGGTGGTATCGATGGATGTTATGGTGATAGTGGGGGACCTTACCAGTGTAAACGTAATAATACATGGATACAACTAGGAATCATGATTTGGGGTAAAGGTTGTGCTGAACCAAACCATTATGGCGTGTACACTGATGTCAGAGTTCTTCAACCATTCATTGAGTCAATACAAGCAGGTAAAGTGAACATTTCGTAGGAGTTTATTTTTTATTATTATTATTATTAAAACATTGTTTGGATACGCGGGACTATTTCACAATAATAGTAACTGTTTACAAAGAAGGCATAAAAATAATAATAGTTATCTTCCAATAGGCCGTATGTATAAAAATATTTAAGGAAATTTAGGCCTAAATACAATATATAAGTAAATTATAGTGATAAATTTGTCACACCTGTATGATCGATCCCAAAAGTTCCAGAACTATACCCTCCAATTTAAATTAAGTTTATATTATTTTTAAAGGAGTTAACAGTTTCAGAACTCTTGAGATCAGAGGGTAAATTATTCCAAGCCACCGCACCCCTGTAGCTAAATGATTTTTTCTTGAAATTAGCGTTTGGTTTTGGCGGGAGATAGTTGAATTGCATTTGTCTCGCAATTCTTCAATAAACTGTTGAGGTTTTGTTCCACACCAGTACCAGGGCGCACTTATGCTATAATGATAATGCAGGATATTAATCAGGCAAGGTAGAAAAACCTGCAGTACAGGAAACCTGAACATATAGGCCATAACCACCTGCTATCCCCTACAAAATTTACCTTTGCGAATGCAAATTATGACTCGTTGTTTGTATCTGCATATATTTATTAAAGTGTATATGACATGAAATTTCTTATTTCTTAAATGAAAGAATTCTTTAAAGCTGTAGTGTAACTTATTTTTCAGTTTCTTGTTTTTTATGGTTTGTTACCGAGATATTTCAATTTGTTTGATATGTAAATGAGTGTGAATATGTCCGCTAATTTATGACGTCACGTTGGTTGCAAGCTCAACTTACAATGCCGGTTATTTATCTATATTAACTCTAAAAACTGTAGATATCAGTTCACGTTTTTCTCCAGTGTTTCATCACATTTGCCAGTGAGTGAAGTTTGAAATTATTATCTTGGATGAATAGCAGTGATAGTCAACCATTTTGAGGAGCTTGCAACCAACATGACGTCATAAATTAGCGGACATATTCACACTCATTTACATATCAAATAAATTGAAATAACTCGGGAACAAACCATAAAAATAAGAAGCTGAAAAATAAGTTACACTACAGCTTAAAGAGTTCTTTCATTCAAGAAAATAAGAAATTTGATATCATATAAACTTTGGAATAAACATTACCGGGTAAGATTAAGGTGTTTTTATTAGGTCTAAAGCCACTCGCGCTGCGCGCTCGGGTCTTTAAACCTAATAAAACACTCCTGCTCATTTATTAAACAGTACGTATATCAATACGGAAAAATGTTTTATATTTTATTATAATATATAGCACAAAGAAGTATAATTGACATGAGTTATATCAACACGGTTCTTAGGTCTGTTTTATACGTCGAATTTTGGTCGCGTCGAATGCAATTAAGACAATAGATAATGAGATGATAAACCTCATTAAGCTTCATTATCTGTTGTTTGAATTGCATTCGACGCGACTGAAATTCGACGTATAAAACAGGCCTTAGCCAATCAGCGTTCAGAATTTGCAAATGCTATATTATAAATATAATTAAAAATTTATTAATGATAATAATTCATGAGGGAAATACAAAAGAAATCACTGCCGTGTCGCTGGTTTTATAGATGTGATAAAAAATCATGTCATTTACATAAACTTTAGCTTCGATTTTCTCGGCTTAAGGCGGTTTTCCAGTCCTCGCACGAAGCTCCTCGCAGCTCGCTGCGAGTGCTTGCATCTAATTAAAATTAACGGTTTAGCATTGTGATTGGATGAAAGTGCTCATGCATCACTTGTAGTGAGCTGCGAGGAGCTTCGTGCGAGGATTGGAAATCCGCCTTTAGACAACGTTCAGTTTTAAAATTACTTCGCCATGAACTCATCAGATGGGTCGTTTAAGCCATTTAAAACATTCGCGGTCCGTGCTTTATCTGATAACGCACTCCTGCTTGTGTTTTAAATAGTACTTATATACATGTAGATTATATAATTATCACTTATTTACTGAGACCGAGGGAAACAGCGTGTTTTGTGGACCCGAGACCGCCGTTGTTGCCCGAGGCGAAGCCGAGGGCAACAACGGCGGTCGAGGGGCCACAAAACACACTGCTTTCCCGAGGTCTTAGTAAACAAGTGTTTTGTTATATAGTATATAAGTGTCAAAGTAGGAATAATTTACCGGTTATTGGAGTAATCTTAATTTGAAACCAAAACTGGATAAATGTACCCTGGATCAGGGGGATTCCTGTTTATCTGAAGCTGTAGCCTGCACTCAGGCGGTGCTGGCCAAATTGGAAACCTCTGAACCCAGGGTAGGATAAATGGAACGCCGTAAATGTTTAGTAAAAAGTTTTAAAAATGAACTTTGGAACTTCATGGTTGACACGCATGTGTATTGCACCCATTTTATTATTGACCGGTCAATAAATGTTTGATTGCGGACCGGTTGCCGAACATGACGTTTTGTGGACCGGCACGTGACACGGTTTTGACCAATCGGCAAACAGAAAAATTAAACTTTGACACTAACTATATAACAACATGATATATCAATGAAAATTTGACTTTTCCATTATAGGTCCTAACTCCAACTTAACGTCGTACTACATGAAAACGTTGGGAGACGTACGACCAGATGTGGGAAGAAGACCTTTAAGTAACCTTCACGAGTTGTTGACAAACGAAAGCGAGTTTTCTGATATTGACCTAGTCCGAAATTTTCAGTTGCTTCCATATCAAATCAAACTACTCAACAAAACGACGTTAATGGATCTTATATTTGTTAGTTCGAAGGAGAATTTAACTGCGAATTCCACTACATTAGCATACATTACTGAAAGTCTTGTTCCGCAAGTTGAGAGGCTGTATGTTCACTATCGGAGTAAAGAAGTAAGCAAAGAATTTAACATCACATTTGAAGAAATCTACAAATCAGCTAACTTAACCAAAGACGGATTCCTAAGTTCCAAATTTAGCGTGATTGAAAATATTAGGAAACAAATATATATTAAAAGATATGTTAACAATCTTCAAATGTACAGAGATACATTAATGACCTACAGATCCGGTTTGAGCGTTATGTTCAACATTTCCCTAATTGAAAAAGATCTGAATAAACCGGCAGATGAATTGGAAAACCTTGACAATAAATCACTGAAGCAGATTCTTGTGAAACACAATCAACAGTTGTTTACAAATATGTTAAGTATCCGTAATATATCATCTTTCTTTGAAATAAGTTTGGAAAAGTTGAAAAATATGACTGTTGGCAACATACTAACTGAATATCTCAATATTAAACTTACTACATTTGCATCATTACATGACCTAACAGGTAGAGAAATTGATGTTGTAAAAATAAAGAAAATCTCAACTGTTCCATATCCAGATGATCAAAATCTTTATGGTTTGGTGATGAAAATTCTTGAAGCTCATGGTAAGTATTATTTATGTCACTTTATTATTTGTCTGGTTCAATTAAAAATATTCTGTTTCCGTGGTTCAGTTGGAGATACCCTGGTTCCAGAGGCTCTTTGCGAGGCGAAATAAACGAAAGGCGAGAACGAAGAGCCACTGGTCACATCGGTTGCAAATCCCACTTCCACACTTGATTAGGTTCAGAATTTGAATCTCGCATGTGATTGGCCATTGGTAAAAATATGTCAAACCGGTTTGGGAAAACAACATTACTGTAAGCTAATTATAGCTATAATTAGCTTGTTTATTTCCCAAACCGGTTTGACATATTTTTACAAATGGCCAATCACATGCGAGATTCAAATTCTGAACCTAATCAAGTGTGGAAGTGGGATTTGCAACTGATGTGACCAGAGGCTCTCCGTTCTCGCCTCTTGCTTATTTCGCCTCGCAAAGAGCCTCTGGAACCAGGGTAAGAGATTGAAATCAATTTAACATTTCGAGCTTTATCAAATAAAACTAAATGCAATTATTGTTCTGTAACTGAAAAAATTCCAAGCCTGGATCTTCATCAGTGCAAATTATTTCTCTCTCTGTTAGAAAAAGCCAACTTGATTCGTTACTCAAGTGATGTTCTTTTGCTACGGAACGTTAACGGCCAATGACCAATTAGCACCAATCAACATGCGCATTCCTACAATACGATTCAGACTTTACTCTCTGCAAAGGGTCGTACGTTTTCATTTTGTACTATTTCTTGTCCGAATTCGAAAATCAAAAGTTTAATCTGGTTTAAGTACCCAACGTGTTAAGGCTAATTTCCACTCCGGAAAATAAGCAGCGGATCGGGATCGGATCGAAGGTTTTTCCGATCCGATCCAACAAGCGATTTCCAGTAAAAGGACAAGTGGAATGATCGGATCGGAAAAGGGAAAAAATGGAGCTCCTTCCAGTCTCATATTCTCCATTTTGTAAATTTTACGCAGGTATTTAATTATTTTAATTTATGTGAGATAATACGGCATTTTGATTGGTCGCCAGGTTTAATCCGCGGACCGGACCAAAAAAGTTGAAAATATTTCAACTTTTTATTATCCGGCCAGCAACGTCGCTGGATCAATCGGAACAAAAAATTTCTATGATGGAGCATTCGCGGATTTTTTTTTGTTCTTATCCGGTCCGATCCGCTGCTTATTTTCCGGAGTGGAAATTAGCCTTTTAATAATATGTTATTGATGTGTTACTTATGTACGGAAGCCGTGAAGGGACTTCAGACTTCAGACTTCAGAGTTCAGACTTCAGACTTCAGACTTCAAACATTGGTTCCGAGCTTCGCTAATAGCCAACATTTCTTCTGCGAAGCTGGCTAATATTTAAGGCACTTACAGTATTCAGTCAAAGCTATTCAAACTAAAGTTAAAAATGGTCAGAATGATTTAGATTGTAAATGCAGACTGTTGGAATGTGTCAGTGAGTTCTGACAGTTCTTTGCAGGTTTAAAGGCAAAACGATAAAACATATAATACTATTGTTTGTAGAAACACCACATAAATTTATTACTGCAGTAAAATTATTAACTTTATTCTGTAAATTTATCAAGTTAAGTATAACACGCGCTCAAAACTAATGCGTATAATATACCACTTGAGGTTATGACTCAATTTTTATTTTTCGAAACGTTTCTCAATCGGCAACAAACTTAAAAAGTATGTTTAGTGCTTTATCTGTAAAATAATGCTAAATTGAAAAGATTTTAGACTACGCCAAAGAGAAAATTATGTAGTGAAATTCAGTAAGCTTTGCTTATATTGCTCAGCTTAAATATGGCGTCAATTTTAAAGCATCATTGATAATTGTATTTTAATTGACAATTTTTAACTATGATTTTATGTTTCTCAACCGGCAGATGCCTTTAAATAGGTAGCTAACTGTATAAACTAAAGAATAAAGCAAAAACAAAGTGATTCTAAGAGAAGGAACGCAAAAGTAATGTTGGCTACTAGCGAAGCTCGGAACCAATGTCTTAAGTCTAAAGTCTAAAGTCTAAAGTCTGAAGTCTGAAGTCTGAAGTCTGAAGTCTGAAGTCTGACTGTCAAACATTGGTTCCGAGCTTCGCTAGTAGCCAACATTGCTTTTGCGTTCCTCCTCTTAGAATCACTTTGTTTTTGCTTTATTCTTTAGTTTATACAGTTAGCTACCTTTTTAAATGCATCTGCCGGTTGAGAAACATAAAATCATAGTTAAAAATTGTCAATTAAAATACAATTATCAATGATGCTTTAAAATTGACGCCATATTTAAGCCGAGCAATATAAGCAAAACTTACTGAACTTCAGACGTAATTTTCTCTTTGACGTAGCCTAAAATCTCTTCAATTTAGCATTATTTTACAGATAAAACACTTTAAACATACTTTTTAAGTTTGTTTGCCGATTGAGAAGCGTTCAGTCAAAAAATAAAAATTTTGAATTTAGTCATAACCTCAAGTGGTATATTATACGCATTACTCATTAGTTTTGAGTGCGTGTTATACTTAACTTGATAAATTTACAGAATAAAGTTAATAAATTTACTGCAGTAATAAATTTATGTGGTGTTTCTACAAACAATAGTATTATATGTTTTATCGTTCTGCCTTTAAGCCTGCAAAGAACTTTCAGAACTCTCTGACACATTCCAACAGTCTGCATTTACAATCTAAATCATTCGATCTGACCATTTTTAACATTAGTTTGTGTTGTATATTCATATCCGGTTAGGCACTTCCTGTTTTATGTAATATAAACTAGAAAATACATGCATGCAGAAACCCTCGCCTTGCTGACAAACAGACAAAACCATTGTATTTTCCGAACATGAAGTATCTGAAGTAGTTGTCATGGTAACACGATAATTTTTTAAGAATATTCTTACAAATGAAAAATCGCCTAAAAAATATCACTTTTAATTACAAAAGTATTAATTCCCCAACATATATATGTTAGGTATGTTATTATACGTAATATAAGCCTCAATTTAAGGTAAAATTCAACCACAAACGCTTCGCAAAACGTTTTAAAGTCACTAGTGTTCTTTTTAAAACTAAACTGCCTTTTAAAACGGCTTTATCGATAAACTTTGAGTTTGCAATAAAATGACTTCAAATTCTCGCTTGCAAATAACTCTGCTTTCTTTTTTATTTAAAAAATTCAATATCATAAAAAAGGGAATCAATATTACTAAAGATACACTGAAATAATATGCTGTCTTGTTTAGTTGTTTCATATATGCAAAGGCCGTCGGGTTTTAAATTAAATCCATTATAAAATCAATATTTAAAACAAACTTACCTTCGTTAACGTCGGCTCACTTCTTTTAGCAGATTCTTTCGCCTTTCTTTCTTGAAATTTACAAAATCTTGCAAAAATGCGAGCGAAAATGAAATATATTTGTGATATTTGCAAGAAATTTATCAATCATCAAATCAAGAAATGTTTGCTATTTCGCTGTCGTCATGCAGTCGTTATAATGCAAACTTTAAATTGGACCAATCAGTTTTCGCTATTCATGACAGTCCGCCACATATTTTGAGATCAGTGAGGATGACCACCCACCGAAACATCGTTGGTGAGCCACGCCCGCGATATTTGATGAACTTTAGACTCCGCTAATGCTTTCGTTTCCCCGGGTGTAAATAGCCGGGGGGAATTAGTACCCTCGCACGGCGCTTCGCGCCGTCGGCTCGGGGATAAGCCAGCTTTCTCTGTGGCAATGTACAACAACAATAAAAAATATAGTCAAAGTATACTTCACAATCCTTATCAATCTGATTGTTAGATCGAGTCAAGATAACATAACATGGTGGCAGCGATTGGATAAAAACCCCAGCTTGTTAATGTGAGCGATTTTTTTCGACACCAGCGATAGAGAGAAAGAAATATTGAACAAAACATTTTGATATAAAACACTCGAAAATGGCATTCAGCGCACCGTTTTCAGCACCTCAAATGGATTGGGAAACTAACGACTCGATCTTAGCGTTTGGCAAATTCAAGCAAAAATGTGAGCTGATGTTCAAAAGTATACTCAAAGACACTGAAGGAGAACAAGTCAGCTATGTCCTGCTATGGGTTGGCGAGCAAGGTCTCGACATCTACAACAGTTGGACATTCGAGGACGTGAAAGACCAAAAAGACCCAGCGAAGATTCTCAATAGATTTATGGAACATTTGGAGCCACGGACAAATCTGACGGAAATCATCGAATTCACAGGTATACTTTACAAGGTATGCGACAAGACCAAGGTGAGTCAATCGATAATTTTATTACCAAGATTAAAAATATCGCAGCCAAATGTAAGTTTAATGGCAATGAAGAAATCGAGGACAGATTATTAGATCAACTAATTTGGGGTACAAATGATCCTGAAGTTCAGAAATCCTTAATTGGACGCGATGAAAAACTAACATTAAATACTGCCATAGATATTGCTAGAAGTTATGAAGCAACGAAGCGTCAAATGAATTCATTATCAAATCAAAATAAGGGAAATCCCCAGCAAATTGATAACATTACTCGCAAGAAATTGAACGCTGATAATAAAAATCATAATAATATTATACAGTGTAGAAATTGTGGCAAAACTCACAAACTGCCACAAAAGGGAACTGTCCAGCCCATGGTACCACATGTAGGAATTGTGGCAAATTAAATCACTGGCAATTAGTATGCAAATCACCAACATAGATCAAAGTCGCCATACCAAAAAAACAGAAAATCCATTAATAGTCTTGAGAAACAAAATGAGACTGACCCGTATGCAGATATCCCAACAATTGGCACTATTGAAATAAATAGTGTGGAAAATCATAATACTACTACTAGTGAAGAAATATTTACTACCCTACGTGTTAACCGTAAGAATAATGGAGACATAAATTTAAAATGCAAAGTAGATACGGGTGCTCAGAGCAATGTATTGCTCATTCATTTGTTTTGTGTTCTATATCCTGAATTAATTAATGCAGAAGGAATGCCCAGGGACGGTGCTCTGCAAAGAAGTGATGTTATTTTAACTGCATATGGGGGATCTGAGACTACCCAATTTGGAAAAATACTGATACCATGTCAACATAAAAGGGGGAAATTTAACTGTATTTTTTACATAACTGATGCAGTAGGACCAGCTATATTGGGAATAAAAGCGTGTAGAGCCCTTGAACTGGTTTCACTTCATTGTGCACTGGAAACAAAAAGTGTGCAAGGAAAGAACGTCTCTTGAGATGTTGCCCAGGGGCCTAGGAAAGAGGAAGTAAAGCCTTTGATTTGCACATCAAGCAAAGATAATAAATCAGCAACAAAATCGGTCCAGAAATTATATTAAACCTTCTGTGCCAATAACAAGCCGTCCTCGTATAAAGGACAAAGAGCATCTGATTGAGATGTACCCAGAATGTTTTGACGGGTCAGTTGGATGTTTTGAAGATTACACTTACCATATTACCCTAGATCCTAAAGTTCAACCAGTTGTTCATGCACCTCGCAGAGTACCATTAGAACTGGTAGATAAACTAAATTTCGAACTTAATGAGATGGAAAAGAACGGGGTAATAGAAAAAGTAACAAAACCTACCGATTGGGTTAATTCTATAGTTATAAGAGAAAAGCCCAATGGAAGACTTTATGTCTTGACCCTAAAGACTTAAACGAAGCAATCATGAGGGATCATTACCCAACACCCACCTTAGAGGAAATCACCCCAAAGTTAGCTGGAGCTAGGGTATTCAGCAAAATAGATGCTCGTAACGGATACTGGAATGTTAAGTTGGATGACGAATCATCCTATCTAACCACTTTCAACACACCGAATGGTCGTTATAGATTCCTTAGGATGCCATTTGGTCTTTGAATGAGCCAAGATGTTTTTCACTTCAAGATCGATGAAACTTATCGGAACAGTCCTGGTGCTACTGGGATCGCAGATGATATCACAGTCCATGGCCGAGATGAATCAAATCACGATCTACATCTTCATGATGCAATGGAACGTACAAGAATGGCTGGCATCAAACTCATCATGCGTAATGAGGTCGACACGTTTTACTTGGCTCTATACTTCTGGGTTATTTTGTCTCTTCAATTGCTGTTTCTTGGCAGATTTTTACGGGTTAAAATGTGAAGAATCAAGTGGAGGACAATGTGGCCTCACCGTAATAGCTGATCCTACGGTTCAAAGCGAGAAATTGGGAAATTATTACAACAGTGGAACCAGTCAGGCGAATTATTTACCCAATGTCGAACTTTATACCTGCCTATGGTTTGGAAGCCTCGGCAATGCAGATTTTGTGATACAATATGTGATATCTGCTGTTGAGGCGGGTTTTACCAACAACTTTGTGTCTGTGAGTGGTGATTTTCCACCAAATGATATATTTATAACTTCTAAGCCTTTATTGGGAAAGTTTGACCCATGTATTATTAGATTAATATTATGCACAAATGGAACAAAGCACATTATACGTTTATTAAGATTAAGATCATCAAAGTTTTCAAAGTGCCGCGTTATTTACTACCCTAACTCTGTTGCCTCGACGCAAATTTTGTTGCTCTCTGGCGACATTGAAAGAAATCCAGGTTGGGACGTGAGCGTTGCTCCAAATTATTTACAAGATTTTGTGAAGTCTTTAGACAAAGGATCAAACAACATGAAAGTTGCACACATCAACATTCGTAGTATTCGAAATAAAATTGAGGAAGTGAAACTCCTGTTATACGTATGTCGTTTTGATATTTTGGCTATCACTGAGACACATCTAAATCGTAAAATATCCAACAGTCAACTTGAAATTGAGAATTACAAGATGGTCAGGAGAGATAGAAGTTCAGGAATGGTCGGAGGAGGATGTCTGGTGTATATTGCCAACCATCTTTGTTTCACGCGGCTTAAATCATTTGAATCGACGGATATTGAGGGCATATGGCTTAAGATCATGTTTGAATCATCTGCATTCATCGTAGGTTCTATTTATAGACCACCCTCTGACTCTGAATTCTTTCAAAGATTTTACATTACGTTGGAGAAAGTCTGGCTGAAGTATAGAAATGTTATGGTAATCGGAGACTTGAATGCAGATTTTACAAGGAATAGAGGAGAAATCACATCAGCAATGGGCAAACGACTTCATAATATACTTCAGCATTTTGACTACTCAGTAGTCAATGATCAACCAACAAGGATCACTAGCGAGACATCCACTTTAATCGACTTGGTAATCGCCAGTAAGCCAAACACCATCAAATGTACGAAAACACTCGAGCTGGGGATTTCAGACCATCTGTTGGTGTATGCGTCGGTAAAGAACAAGATTAAGCGACCTCCACCGAAAGTGGTTACAGCTAGATCTTATAAACGATTTGACAACGAAGCGTTTAGAAAAGATGTTGAGGAAGCACCGTGGGCTGTCATCTCTGTCTTTGACGATCCTGATGACAGCTTCTGGGCCTGGTCACACCTGTTTAATGAAATATGTGATAGACACGCTCCCTATAGGCAAGTTAAAATTAGGCAACAGTCATTACCTTGGATAACTCCCCAGATTCGACATCTGATGAACTTGCGTCTGAAAACGTTTTTGAAGGCTAAGAAATCAAATAGCCAGGAACTGTGGTCTGAGTATCGTAGCCTTAGGAATAGAGTAACTCAAAAGGTCAGGCTGTCGAAAAGTGAATATTATACTAACTTGTTTGATGAAGTTAAAGATTGTCGATCCTATTGGAAACTGGTGAAGAATGCTTCAGGTAGTCGAATTGTCCAGCCAATTTTAGGTATAAGGGGAAACGATCAAATCATCGAAACATCTGACTCGCGGAAAGCAGAAATCCTTAATGAACATTTCTCTACTATTGGAGAGAAATTAGCGAGTGAATTATATTCGGGTCAAAGTCAGGAAAATCCTTTTTCGCATATTATTCGTGTTACACCAACAGTAACGAACATTGAACTTACTTATGATTCGATTATGCAAGGTTTAATGAAACTAAAGAACAATAAAACTTGTGGACCGGACAACATCGCACCAAGATTACTTAAAGGTGCTGGTCATGTTTTAATTCCATCGTTGTTTTCTCTATATTCAATGAGTGCGTCGTGCAATACTGTCCCAAGCACATGGAAATTTGCAAGAGTTTCTGCCTTGTTCAAGAAGGATGATGAAACCGATAAGCAAAATTATCGCCCAATTTCTTTATTATGTGTCCCTGGTAAACTCATGGAAACTCAGGTTGTTTCTACCATCACAAACCATGTTGAGCACCATAATCTTAGAAATAAACACCAGTGGGCTTATAAGAAGGGACATTCTACGCAGCTACTTTTAGCTAAGATGACCAAAGATTGGAGGAGAGCACTGGATCGAAAGTTAGTTGTTGGTGTTGTCTTTATTGATTTCCGTAAAGCTTTCGATTCTCTACCTCACAATATTCTGCTCTACAAACTTCAAAGTTTGGGTATTGCAGGTGACCTATGGTGCTGGATAAGAGATTACCTCACTGATCGCCATCAAGCAACCGTTGTAAACGGCTGCAAATCAGAATCTATGCCTGTTAGGTTTGGAGTACCTCAAGGGTCAGTTCTTGGTCCTATACTCTTTTCAATATTCTGTAACGATTTACCAGATGTTGTAGTTGATGAAAATGAGGATGTTGAGATGTATGCGGATGATACAACATTGTACGTAGTAGCTAGGACTCACGATGAAGTTGCCAATATGCTGAATAAAACTTTAAAGAAGTTACATGAATGGTGCTGTCTAAATGGACTGTCTCCTCACCCGGGTAAGACTGAGTACATGCTTTTAGGTCGAGGGAAATTTACTGGTCCACTCCAGGACATCAGATTTGGAAACAATAGTATTAAACAGGTGCTGGTTTCTAGATGTTTGGGATTAGAAATTGATTATCAATTAAATTGGACCTATCATGTTTCTGAAGTTATTAAAGCATTTACTCAGAAGTTGAATTTGTTAAAATCATTATACTTCCTACCGAAAAAAGGTAGAGAGGATTTTTACTTCAAGGTTATACTTCCATCCATAACCTACGGACTAATGATTTGGAGCTCGTGTGGCAAGACCCTCATGGATGAAATAGAAAGAATTCATGTTCGAGCTGCAAAGATCATCTACAAACTGGACTGGAGTACTCCCAGCGACCAAGTGCTGGTGAAAGCTAATTGGAACACTATCAGGGACATGAACTCAAAATGTCTACTATGCTTTGCATATAAGTGTTACTATGGTCATGTTCCAGAACAATTACAATCTATTGTTAGAAAAAGTAATTACACATATGATTTTAGAAGGAAGTTAAGTTTAGCCTTACCTGTGCCTAAATCTAATTATGTTAGGAATTCAATATCTTATAAGGCAGCTAGTCTGTGGAACTCTTTAACGAATGAGCATAGGGCTTCAAATAATATAGCTAGTTTTAAAACGATTTTAAAGACAGATAAATTTTAAATTTAGGTGATTATTGACTGGGACTGGGTAATAAGTTTTTTTTTTAATTTTTTTTTATTAATATAATATAGCTTAAATTATTGCTGTAAATACACGACCACATCAGTTCAGCTGTAATCTTATCGTGTTAAAATAAATGCTTTAGTAGTAGTAGTAAGAGAAGTGCATCATCAAGACGTCCAAATGCAGTTTTTTTTGGTATGGTATACACCTCGAGTGGAGTCAAACCAGATCCAGAGAAGGTCATAGCCATACAGAACATGGAACCACCCAAAGATAAGAAAGAACTTCACACGTTCCTTGGTATGGTCGTTAACTACTTGGCGTCATTTATGCCTAACTTGGCGAGTCACACGGCACCTTTGAGGGAGTTAATCCGGGATAACGTTGATTACCAATGGTCCCCGTCCCATACAAGAGCTTTTGACATACTCAAGTGTCAAATAAGCACAGAAACTACACTTTCTTACTACGACAGAAGCAAAGCAGTTGTGCTACAAGTAGACGCATCAAGTAAAGGTTTGGGAGCCGTCTTATTACAAGAGAATAAGCCCATTGCTTTTGCATGGAAAGCTCTAACTCCTGCTGAGAGTCGGTATGCCAACATCGAGCGTGAGTTATTGGCGGAGGTGTATGGTTGTGAGAAGTTTCACACATACTTATATGGAAGGCAATTTGTTGTGGAAAGTGATCATCGTCCTTTGGAACAGATCCAGAAGAAGAATCTCAACATGGCACCTCCTCGACTTCAACGAATGCTCCTACGCTTGCAACCATCCGATTGTATCATCAAATATAAGCCAGGCAAAGAGATGGTGATAGCAGATACACTTTCGAGACTGTCACCAAGGGAGGGATACGAAATACCTGGAATGCAAGTGAAAATTCATCATCTGGTGGAGTTTTCACCTGTCAAGCTCCAACAGATAAAAGACGAAACTGCTAAAGATGGAACTCTTCAAATCCTGACCGAGCAAGCTATGCAAGGGTGGCCTGATAGCATAAAGAAAACTCAGCAAGCAATAAAGCCTTACTGGAATAACCGAGATGATATCTCTATTCAAGAAGGAGTTCTACTATTAGGAAGTAGAATCATTGTTCCAAAATCACTCCGGCAGAAGATATTACAAGAAATCCACAGTGGTCATCAAGGGATGGAGAAGTGCAAACTCCGTGCAAAATCCTGTGTCTATTGGCCTGGTATATATAAAGAGATTGAGAATATGGTGGCGTCCTGTTGTGCCTGCAAGAAATTCCAGAATTCTCAGCAGAAGGAGCCCATGATTCCAAGTGAAGTACCGCCAAGACCATGGCACACTGTGAGTGCAGACCTGTTCAAGGTAAATAATTTCTGGTACATAGTTATCGCTGACTATTATTCGAAGTTTCCATTCGTGAAGAAGTTGAATAATCTAACAGCAACCACTGTAGTTAATGTGGTTAGATCAATATTTTCTGAGCAAGGCATACCAGAAACTCTGATTTGTGATAATGGAACCCAATTCACTTCTGCCCAATTTCAAGACCTAGCGAAGAGATATGGTTTCAGAGTGGTGACCTCGTAACCGTACTACCCAAAGGGTCATGGCTTCATTGAGAGGCAGACTGTGAAGAAGATCCTGTTGAAATGCGAAGAATCCGGAACTGATCCTAGTCTTGCATTGCTGTCGTTACGTTCTATACCGTTAAGTGCAACACTCAAATCTCCAGCAGAACTAGTAAATGGAAGAATGTTCAAGACAACATTACCAGTAAAGATTCATCCACCAAACGATTGGCACAAAACCAGAGACTTGTTATTAACACAACAAAAGAAACAAGTTAATCTATATAACAGGGATTCGAAAGAGAAACTAAATCTCTTTCAAAATCAAGCTGTACAAGTTCAAGACCCTCTTAAAAAAATATGGAGTACATCGAGAGTAGTTGGGTTCGGACCAACTCCTTGTTCCCATATTACAGAGGATGAATCCGGAGTTCAAATACGGAGGAATAGACAGTTAATCAAGCCTGACATCCAGAAGACACCTGGACCAACAAGTCCTGCTGTGAAAGATAACCAAAGTGAAAAGAGAAATGTTGAGATACCTGATCGACCAGAAGTTCGAACACGCTCAGGTCGTATAATTAAAAAGCCGGACAGGCTAATGTATAAGTAGATAGTATTGAACAGTCCTAATGTATAAGTAGTTAGTATCGAACAGTCGTAAATAAGAACACGATCGGTAAGATTTATGCATTAATACAAATACCATTAGTTAGAATTATAAATTAGAACATTTGATAAGAACAATCTGAAGATAAATAATCTAGAGATATATAAATAATACTAAATATAATTTTTATGTAAAATTAAGAAAACTTGTAAAAATATCTTAAAGAAAGGAGGATGTTGTATATTCATATCCGGTTAGTTACTTCCTGTTTTATGTAATATAAATAAGCCAGTACTGTACAACAACAATAAAAAATGTACAACAACAATACATGCACTGTACAACAATACAGTGTACACAATGTACAACAACAATAAAAAATATAGTCAAAGTATACTTCACAATCCTTATCAATCTGAGAGTTAGATCGAGTCAAGATAACATAACAGTTTGAATATGAGCTTTGACTGAAAAGTGCCTTAAATATTAGCCAGCTTCGCAGAAGCAATGTTGGCTATTAGCGAAGCTCGGAACCAATGTTTGAAGTCCCTTCACAGCTTCCGTATAAATCAGATAAAGATTTGTCCTGATTTACATAAACTTTAGCTTTGATTTTCTCGGCTTAGACTATGTTTATTTTTAAAATTACTTTGCCAATGAACTCATAAGATGGGTCGTTTTTTAAGCACAATAAAACATTTGCATCCAATATAGATGGTTTTCATGTGACGTCACAAACTATATGGCGGCCATGTTGGTGTACCAAATTTCCCGCAAAATATTCCCGCGAAATACAAATAATCCTGCATTTCCATATTTTTAAAGATTATTTTGCATGTGTTTTATATGATACCTTTATCGAATTATGCTAAAAAGCTTGAACCAAAGGTCAAGAAGCGCTATAAAGAAAAAATCTCTGACATAGGAGTCGACCCAATGTTGATTGAAGCCAAGTACTTTCTGTAACCCAGAATGAGCAATAAGTCTTCCATTTACCATGCCTAAGGATTAACAGCATCCCCAAAACTTGGTAATGTCCCTACTGCAGGACCCTACCTCAGTTTAAGAGATCTAACCAGAGGAGGTTGGACAAGCAGGCCACAAAGCATCATGGGTTTGAGCGCCTAATTCCACACGTGCCTTCAATGACTCTTTTACTGTCGTGGAGTGAACATCTCTCTGAGTAAACAAATATGGAAGCATTCAAAAGACAAGATTGTCAGGCTGCAATACTTCGTGAAAATAGCATGTTATTGCTGTATTGTTGCAATCCTCATTATGACGTGTGAGTTACTATACCAAGTTTACCTTATATTAAATTGCATGGGACGTGCTGTCTTTTAGCTTTATAAATAATCCGCGAAGGAATTGTGTTATTCCCAATAGCAACTAGCAAGGCTCTTCTTTCTAAGTTGGATGGCGTTTACTCCGTATATCATCAACGTGAAAACAAGCGCAGTTTTTGAGGTTGGTATCCTACAATGCAATACAGTTGACTTGTTTCAAATTTCTGCTTTGTTGTTTTCAATATTGTACTGTAATTTTATAAATACACTGTACAAATTATGGCGCAATATTTCAAATATTAAATTCAACCCTTTAGTTTGACCCTATTCCTGATGAGTTTGCTAATCGATGTGGATCATATATTGACAGCGAATACAATTGATGATGGACATTGGTTTTCAGATGAGTCTGAAGGTATTGTTATTTGTATATATTTTATAAATTTTTGCTGAGTATGATGCATGTTTGTATCTAGTTGTGGATGGTTGTTTAAATGTGCAAACTGTAGTTTAATATTTGTCAATTTTCATCTAAATATTGCTATGTTTGTGTGTTGTTCTAATACACAGACCTAACACAGTTAGGTATATTAAGAATTTAGAAGTTACATGCGCTTTTGTGTAAGAGATGACAGTGCATGAAATAATAATTTTCTTGTTACGATTTTGTAGAAAGAGATTTACTTGAGTTGTTGGCTAAATTCTTGAGCCTGTTCAGGATGGTATGATAATGAAAGAGGTGATCAAGGTAATAGGGCAGAATATGATGACAAGTTCAGTGATGAGGAGGAAGAAATCATCCAGGCTGTACCATTCAAGTGCATCGGTGCTGCTCATGAGAACCACTACCAACATCATTTGGAAAAGGCATACCTCACTCTTCATGAACAAGATAAACCAGGGAATGTAAGGATACGGCCAGAGTCATTGAATCCAAGGGACCCAAGTGCAATAGCAATTGATCCAGACTATGGAACTGGATGGCCCCATGTTGGTTATATATTGCTTCTGAACTATGCAAGTATCTGCACCCATTAATTGCTGCAGGAGATGTCATGGATGTCTATGTTCAGCATATCAAGTATAGGGCTGACTTTTTTAAAATACGATTTTATCCAAAAAATTTCATAGAGACATGGTTAGTGCATGGGAGACTCAAGTGGTAGGAAAAGCGCGAGTGTACGTTGACACATGTTTTTTTATATAAGTAATAGTAACTAACTAGAAAATACATGCATGCAGAAACTCTTGCCTTGCAGACAAAACCTTTTTATTTTCCGAACGTGAAGTATTTAAGTAGTTGTCATGGTAACACGATAATTTTTTAAGAATATTTTTACAAATGAAAAATCCCCTATAAATATCACTTTTAATTACAAAATTATCAATTTCCTAAACATATATATGTTACGTATGTTATTATACGTAATTTAAGGTAAAATTCAACCACAAACGCTTCGCAAAACGTTTTAAAATGTTCTTTTACTAGAACTAAACTGCCTTTATCGATAAACTTTGAGTTCGAAATAAAATGATTCCAAATTCTCCCATGCAAATAACTTTGCTTAGTATAATAAAAAGTGTAATCAATAAAGAAACACTGAAATAATACGCTGTCTTGTTTCATATTTATACATAACGATCGGCTTTTAAAGTAATTACAGTAGGTATGTTATTATACGTAATATAAGCTTGAATTTAAGGCAAAATTTAACCACTAACGCTTCGCAAAACGTTTGAAAGTGTTCTTTTAATATAGAACTAAACTGCCTTTATCGATAAACTTTGAGTTCGAAATAAAATGATTCCAAATTCTCCCATGTAAATAACTTTGCTTAGTATAATAAAAAGTGTAATCAATAAAGAAACACTGAAATAATACGCTGTCTTGTTTCATATTTTATATACGCAACGATAGACTTTTAAAATAATTACAGCCGAGATTACAGTATATTAAAAGCAAACAATGCATCAATATTTAAAACAAACTTACCTTTGTTAACGTCGGCACCTTTACTTCCTTCTTTTAGCAATCCTCTTGCCTTTATTTCATCAAAAATCCTTTGCAATTTACAAAATCTTGCAAAAAGAAATATATTTGCAAGAAATCATCAAATCAATTTCGCTGTCGTCAATTGTCATGCAGCCGTTATAATGCCAATTTTAAATTGGACCAATCAGTGTTGGCTATTCATTACAGTCCGATATATTATGAGATCAGTGAGGATGACCACCCACCGAAACACGCACAGTGACCCACGCCCGCGATATTTGATGAACTTTAGACTTCGCTAATGCTTTCGTTTCCCCGGGTGTAAATAGCCGGGGGGAATTAGTACCCTCGGTCGGCTCGGGGACTATGTTTAGCTAGTTATTGAAGTGCATTTATTTCAATTGGCTAACTTTTTAGATTTTTTCCAGCATTTTTTAAACAAACCATGGGTTATAAATGATAACTTTCTATATCTAATTAAAACAATCTGTCATGTACACTCATGCAAAATAAGTACATAACTGTAAAAATGTGCTTTAGTAAATAAATGAGTAATTTATCCATGCACTTGACCTACTTTGTTTGTAATTTTTTCAGATTAAAATTAATACAACAATAAAACAAGAAGATGTCTATTTATATAATACACAAGTCAATTCCTGGAGTAACCATCCCCCCCCCGGGACACCCCCGGGAATTTGCCTGATAGACAGTTCACGGGGGTCGGGAATTTGCCTGTCATATATACGTGCACAGGGGCCAGGTATTGTTATAGTCGCTGAGGACCCCGGCGATTTGACAAATGGTTTCACTTTTGCGAAACTTATTACCTGTGCCATGCGAATTTAAATACAATACTATTAAAGGTTTATGATTTCATTGTTTAAATAATTTTAACCACTCTTAGCAAGATTCATGTTTATATTAAAGTTTTATAATATTCCATAGCAGTTTAAAGATGCGGTACAGTCTGTATGTAAACAAGGGCTTTGTTTACACGTTGGTATCCAAAATATTGAATTTTATTCAACAACTATTTATATTTTCATGATTCTGGGGTATTATAAATTATCAAGACACAACAATTAAGCTTTGCAAGACCATAAAATGAAATAAAAACCTAAATAAACTGTTTGTATAATAAAAAGAGGGCTCCTTTGTGCACATGCGCAGATCGGACTGTATCGCATCTTTAATAGTATGTTATTAAATGACTATGCCTATGATATGCATTAATTAATCGTCCCTGCGGTGGGGCATTTTCCACTCTCAGCTTG